GGCCTGCTGCTTCGTGCATCCCCTCACTGGGGACAGGACACAGCAATTTGTTTGCAATACATATGACAGCACCCACCAAAAGAACCTGCACTGGTGCAGCACCACTGTTCCTGGAAAGAAACATTCCCCAATATCCAACCTGACCCACCCTGGTGCAACTTAGGGCCATTACCTCTTGTCACAGGCCATACATATTGCTGTACAGGCATCTTTCCAACCTCAGTCTCCCCCAGAATTAAGGACTGATAAATGCAGGGCTAGATTCTGATCAAAGGTACTTCTAACTGTGTTCTCTGACTCAGGTTATGGGCAGCAGCCTGACCTGCCCAGCTCCTTGGGCACAGTCAGCACCTCCCTACTGCAGCACTGCTCCCACCAGCTGACACTGCTCTCCTGGTCGGGGCTTCTAAAGTAAGACCTACAAATGAATGTTTGATAATTAAACAGAAAAAACATAGAGGAAAATAGAGAAACCTGGCACTGCCCTCCCCTCAGGAGGACGCCCTGGTCACCCTCAGCTGTCACCACATCCCCGCCATCAGAGCCTGCCAGCCCTGCTGGTGGCCTTGGCCAGCTGAAGCTCCAGGATGCTCGACTGCCCAGAGAGCAATATCAGGTTCAGGACACAACTGATACGTGCTCTGCATCGGTCATTTAAAAACCAAACAACCCCCAACCTTATCTCCTCTGTGTAATCTGAATCTGCTCGGTTAAATAGGAGGATGCTCATGAATCAGGACAGCACAGCTCTCTGTTACCTCCCCAAGAGCACGCTGACAGCACGCCTGGCCATGTGCAACCTGCTTTCTCCATGCACTGGGAAGGTAACACTGACAGAGCACAGCACGGAGCAGGAGGAACACAGGCACAGAGTGCTGCATCTTCTGTTTTCACACTGTTCCTGATTTATCTGCATTACCTTGCTTTACCAGCAGCTCTGCAGACTCAGCATCAACAGCCTGCCACCTCAACAGCCTGCCACCTCAACAGCCTGCCACCTCAGGTTTCCCTGTGAAACAGAGGATGGAAACTGACCCATCACCTGCAGGCACATGGACTCAGGGTGTGTTCCACAGCCCCAGGCCACGTGGCAGGTGGCCAATGGACTCCATAATCTTGGGAAGCTCCCTCCATCTGAACTGTTCTGCTCTGTATGCTTACTTTGGGGTACGCAGGCAACCTAATTTCTCCTGCTGGCCCATGCACTAGCACCATATGCTCCTATTTGATGCGTGTCATACTGTTCTGTAAACATTTGCATAAATTTTTGGTGGTTTTTTACCACCAGGAAAGCCCAGCATATCATGTTTGCCCCAGGTGCTACAGGAGCAGCTAACACAGCATTGTGACATAACCAGAACAGCCGACACATTGACAAGAACATGTCAAGTGCTGTCATGATGTTCAAAGTCACTCCTTCCAAGAGATAAAAGAGTGCACACACTGCAATCCACCCTATTACCTCACCACCAACCAGAAAGGACCAGAAACAACAAATACCACCCAGCAGCCTAGACAGAGGCTCTGAATTTATTGAAAAAAGAAGAAGAAAAAAAAAAGCATAAAAATGTGTTTGGCATTATGCTTCTGTAGCAGCTATTGGGAGCTTATAGAGATAATACCAATGCTTTTCAATCCCAAATCCTGCTGGCTGCCTTTCACTCAGGCTCCTCCAAGCACTCAGGTATTCAGATCCCAGAGAGTTCAAGGCACAGGCTCCAAAGGGCACCCTTCTGCCCTGCGCTCAAGGGACAAGGGTTCAGCCCAGGCACACGGCACATCTCCTGCCCCACGTGCAGGTGGTTCTATGGGACTGTCCCAAACGAAGAAATCCCATGGCCCTCTTCCCACAGAGCTATGAAGCAGTCACAGTGCTGTGCACGAGGCAGACGTGGTCTCAGACGCCAAGCCCTAACACCCAGCCATCAGCTGCATTCGCGCTGCTCTGCTTGCAGGTTTCCCAGGAAATCCAGTTGCTATGCAATTAAAAAAAAAAAAAAAACAAAAAAAAAAAAGGTCAACTGCCTGATATTTCTGCTCCTGAGACGGCAGGCTTCAGTCTTTTGGGAGAATGCTTATCCCTATGCTCTCCTTCCTGTATGTCCTTTAGCACAACTCCGAATTGCAACCTATTGCTGCACTTTCCCTGAACCCCCGCTGTACCTCACCTCCTTCCTGCGCTGCTCCTTCCCTGCCTTTCATGTGTCACTGCTTCTGCTGCTGCACTCTACCAGCCTGCTCATAGGGAACCTGGCTGTCAGAGAACTGCCCAGAGCAAACCTGGCCATCAAGCTTATTCTCTGCCTCGCTACAAAAGCACAACTGTTTCAAACAGCCGGCCTCTCCTGACAATCCAGCGGCCCGCTCTGCCTTGCAGCGGTCATTTTGCAGTGATTGATGTTCAGGAAGTGGATTGCTTCCCCTCTCCTTAGATCCTATCTGGATTCACAGCAGCGCCGATCGGCGAATGCTTTCCGCTCCGGCCCCTTTCAGCCGTGCCTGTCAATGGCCTTTGAGCCGCGGCAGTGCGGAGGTATTCAGCCCCTGCATCCTTAATTCCTTTCAGCCGAATCCAGGCTCCGCACACGCTGCCACCCGGGAAAGCCTTGCGAGCAGCTTCCCGTTGGGCGCCCTGTGCCAGCGATTCAGCTCCCCAGGATGCTTTGTCAATGCGGTAATCCCAGCGATTGTCTGCTTGAACACTTCATGGCAATCAAAAGCCATTTAGGATTTCAGGTTTGTCTTCCTCTCCTCTCCCCCTCCCCACCTTCTCCCAAAGATGTCTTCCTGTCACCAGGACATGAGCTCATTTCTTTTGCCCGTGGCAGGAGGAAGATGCATTCAGCCCTACCGCATCGCTAAGGGCCCCCATTATTCAGTCCTTCCGAGAGCTGACAGCCCCTCTGGAGGTTAAACCAAAATAGAAGCGCAATAAAAAGTGACGCTCTGCCTCCTTCCCAGGGCTGGCAGAGCCCAATCTCCTATACTGCATCTTTAACTGTTTTATTTCATGCACGGATGTTGCAGATTTGGATCCATATATCTTTCAAGCACGGAACCATTCAGCAAGAACAAACCAAGGGGTGAGAGGCCTCCTTACTTCCCATCCTAGCAAGGAGAGGATCAGGTTGGATACTGACATTTATTCTCAGAAAGAGCAGCAGTGTACTGACACAGGCTGCCCAGATGGTGGGATCACCATCCCTGGAGGTGCAACAGAACCACGTAGGTGCAGTGTGGTCAGTGGGCACGGCAGGGTGGGCTTGGGGATCTCAGAGGTCCTCTCCACCCTCTGTGACTCTATGAGACTCTATGAGAAAACACCCACAACCAACCCCATCCACAGCCCACACTGTGAGAACTGCCCCTTCTAGGATCCCTGACACAAGGCTGATGGCTGCCACACAAACAGCCCTGCCCCAAGCCCTGTTCCACGTGTCCCAGCACAGCTCCATGTCAATGCCCATTGCGCAGCTCGTGGGATCTGCAATCCAGCACGCTCCAACCCACGCGGTAAAGAAAATTCATAACCCTGAAGAAACACATTCCTTCACCTATTTCAAAGCATCAGTCACACACCCTCCGTAACTTAATTACAGATCTTCTGCTGGAAGAAGGCGTTAAAGCTCCATTAAAACCGACTCCGGTGCCCGACGTGCTTCAGACTGCCCTGACCGAGCCATTTCACCGCGTTTAACGCTGACGTGAACAGAAGCGGTGGGACAGGGCACATCCCAGCGACGGAGCGGGGTTTGTCTCAGCATAGGAATAAAAGAAGGAGACGTTTTGTTGGGTTAGGGCCGCCCCGGAACCCCGCTGCACCCAGCTCCGAACTCTTTCCTATCCCGACCCCGCATCGGGGCTACGGGTGCGTTTCGGCGGGGCTCCGCGCGGCCACATCTCCGCTCCGGGGCCGCGGACTGGGGCGTGACAGCGGCACACGGCCGCGCTCGGAGCGCAGCTCCCAGCCCGCGGCGCCGCTCCCCGCTCCGGCACGGCGGCCGCCGCCACCCTTTGTTCCCGGAGCCGCGCCGGCTCTCCGCGCATCCATTCGCCCGCAGATCGGGGCCGTCCGCGGACCGGCGGCGCGCCCTAACTTTCTCGCCCTCACGTCCCTCGGCCGCCCGAAACGCGAGGGAGCGGCGCGGCTCAGCGCGGGGCTCCATCCCACCCTCGGCCGCCGCTCCATCCCCGCGGCGCGGCCCCCGGCGGAGCTCCGCCCGCCTCTCCCTCTGTCTCACCGGTGCGCGGCCACGGCGCGGCTCCTCAGGTACTTCTGCGCCGTCATCACCCCCACGAAGAGAAAGCTCTGCGCCGGCGGACCGGGGCGGCGCGGCTGCGGGAGGAGAGGGGCGGCGGCGGCTGCGGCCGCTGCCGGCGGCGGGCGGCACCCCGACGGGCGGCTCCGACGGGGCCGCGCCGCCGCCGCCAGCTCGGAGGCGCGGGGCAGGACGAGCCGCGAGGCGAGCACGAAGCCCAGCACCAGCCCCAGCAGCACGCTGAGCCAGGCGCGGCGGCCGCGGCCCGCCATAGCCCGGCGCCCGCCCGCCCGGCAGGCCCAGGCCCCGCGCTGCGCCTCCTCACAGCGCCGCCGCCGCCGCCCCGCGCTGCGCCGCCGCCGCCGCCGCCAGCCGCGCCGTGCCGCCCAGCGCCGCCATGGGGGGAAGGGGAAGGGACGGGAAGCGGAGGGAAGGGGGCGCCCGCCTCCCGGCCCTGCCCCTCGGCACAGGCGCCGTGTGCGGCCCCGCGCCGCGCGCTGCCCGGCGCCGCTGGCCCCGCCCGGAGTGGGGCGGTGGGGGCGGGGGTGAGGAGGGGGACGGAGGCGGCGCGGATTGGAGCGGAGCGGAGCGGGGCCGAGGGAGGCGCCGCCCCGCAGCGACGGGCAGGGGGGGAGTCGGGGTGCGGAGGGGAGTCTCGAACTCGGGACCTCGGGGTGCGGAGCCGGGGGCGGGGCGGGGCGGGGGCGCGGGGACTGCCACGGAGGGTGAAGGGACCCCGGGGGGACCGGGAGTGAGACAGCAGGGCGAGAGAGAGCCCAGGGCAGAAGCCGGGACTGAGAGAACGGACGCTGAACGCAGGGCCGGAGCCAGGGCTGAATCCCGAACCTCAGGGCGGGACCCGGCGCTGAGATCCCTGAGCCCAGCACGGGAGCCGGGACTGGGAGCCTCAGACCGGAGCCTCTTGGGGGTCACCCGCAGCCAGGACGGGCGGCAGCCCCAGCACGAGCATCCATCCCTGCAGACAGGCGGCTCCCGGCCAGAAGCCCCCACTTCTGCGCCGTCCTCGGTTTAGCACAGAGGGACACCAGCTCTCCCCACACCGCTGGCACACGGCCCTCCGGCCCCAGTTTTGCTTGGTGCTGCTGCATTCAACCCTGCTCTGCTGCCAGGGGGAAACGCAGGCACGAGCAGCTCCATCGTCCCCACCTTGCTAATTAAAGCCCCCAGAAATAGGTCAGGCTATTTCCATCCCGAGGCCATAATGACCGCTCAACAGGGTGAAGTGTTTCCTTTCTCTATGCCCACACTAACTCTCCACGTGCAATTCATCTACAGAGAGCTTCGGCTTCAAACACTGCAGCCCCCGAGCCTTGACATTTTAAAGGAAAAAACCTCCAGCCTTCACATAAGCAGTACATCTAGTCCAGCCCACTGCCCACCCACTTATCACTGTGGTTTCTTCCACTTCCTACGCAGCTTTGCATCTCCAACTGCCAGTCTTTCCCTTTGCATCTTATAAAAGAAGTTATTTATATTGCGGTGTCATCCACGACAAGCTCAGACGAAAGTCTCAGCATATGGCAGCCTGTTATTGAGCAAGGAGCATTGTGAAAGGGAGCACCAAAGCAGCCTTTCGTGACACAAACAGGCACGTAGGATGGGTTTTTATGGTCTTTCTACAGTAAATGCCACATTTCTGGGGAACAGCAGGTAATGCCACAAACCAATTATCTGACACATGATGGTACATCTTGAAAAAGAATGCTTGTGAGTGGCTTTATTGCTACTGTGATAACACAAGCCTGATAGCGAGGTCTGCACCAACAAGCAGCAATAAATACCACGTGTCATAATGGTTGATTGTATTAAGCAAAAATAAAATAGAAACTGGAGAAGAAATGGAAGCAAATTAAAGAAAAGCAGGTCTGCTTTTAGTTACCAACAAGAGGAACACGGTGGTATTGTGTGACCTGTTTGTGGGAAAAGGAAGAGAAGCAGAACTAAAAGGCAGAAGGCAGGGAAAGTGGGAAAAAAAAAATAAAGTGTAATTCCCTGCTATGTCCCAGGATTTACAATGCTTTGCTGCTATTTCCAACTGTTGTTGACCTGATCTCTTTCTTCTGGAGCTACCCTCAGCCTGTGCCACTCTAGATTTGTTATTCCCTCTTGGAAAACTTCCTTAAAAGGAGCCTCACCCAACTCTGCTTCTTCCCTCTCTCCACTTCTTCCTCCCCACAATCGTCAGGTCCTAAAGCATAGGAAAATGACAGATGTTCAAGCTAAAATAAAAAGGCCTCTGCTTCTTTCCAAGAGAGGGAGATGTGGCAAGTTTGTGAGCACGAACAGGATTACTCTCAGCGTGCTCCAGATCAGCAGGAAAAATCTCCTGATTCAAGGGAAAGATGCTGCGGCCTATGAATTGCAGGAAAAGGCAGAGCTAGTGTGGTTAAAAGGCAATAAAAAAGGAGGGTTGGGGCAGCGGAGCTGTCAGCTGGCTTCTTCCCATGAAGAAAAGGAGTTAGTCATCAGAACTGAAAACTTCATGCAACTTCAGCACACATGGAAACGATGAAGCGAGGAGCAGCGAGGAGAGGCAGCCAGCATCCTCCCCACACTGCCTTCAGAGAAGGTAGGACAGCCCTTTGGGAGCCTGCTGTGAGCCAGCAGGACAGTGGGACACCAATTCACAGAGCAGAGTTAAACCCAGCCCAGCTCACATGTGAGGTGCGAGTGCTGCTCTGCCACGCTGTTTTCACTGTCCTGGGATTTCTTTTGGCACATTCCTACTTTTGGTAGAGGAAAAGCACACTTCCCAGTGCCATCCCATGCCCTATGAGAGCACATACACTCAGCCTTCCTACTGTCACAGGTCTGCAAGCAATGCAGTTGTGTGCATCACACTGCCAGCTCAAAAGGCTGAGCAGCAGCTGTATGGGTGGTGGGCAAACCCAAGCCTCACATTGCAGCAGGAGGCTGGCTGCCCTCCTTCTTCCAGGCAGGTACATTAATGCCACCCACGTGCAGGCTTCAGCCTCTACCTGGAAGAACATTGCTGCCCTGTTGTCTGAGGCTTACAGAAGCCGTAACCAAGTATGTCTGGGGCGTGCTGCCAGGGCGAGACGTCCTGCGAGCATCCCACACAGGGCTTCAGCACTGCCGGGGGTCAGGAACTGCTTCACTTCGAAGGAACTGCAGGGAGAATCATCACTGCCGCACCGCAGCTCTCAGCACAGCCACGTCCTGCCAGGCAGCACGCAGCCAAGCAGCCCTCCACAGCACATCACCACATCTAACTGCTTTCCCCTCTTAGCACAGCTCCTGTAGTCTTCACAAATACTTGATGCTATGCATTATTGCTAGCATAAAATAAAAGGTGAGGCATTCTCCTAACGTGAAGGTGCATACAAGCACAAACATGCCGATTTTTATGCAGTGTGCTTTCTATTCTGCATGCAGATTTTGTGGGATTGCTTGAGGAAATACTGTGAGGGCTCTCCCAAGTCTGAAGAGGACACACACTGCATGCATGCAGCACACCTCCAAGCTCCCATCCCACTGCTCCTGTGAGATCAGCACACACACCAACAGGGAGAGCCCCCTCGACAGCCCCGTGCAGCTTGGACTCCACATCAGATGAACAAAACAGTAATCCTATTTTTAAATGAAGAGAAAGCCATGCACTTAAAGCAGCAAACTGTTCTGTACGCGTGCAGTATAGATGCTGTCCTTTGGAATAAAGGAGCAGAACAGGAGGAAGTTTCTTCCACGTAGAGGACATTACCCTATATAGGAAAGAGAGACTGTCTTGCACTGTGATAATCCTTTTCCTCATCGGTTTTAATTGCCAACACATCCACAGTCATGAGCCCGCTTTCAGGATGTGCCTTCTACCCTATGCATCTTTTAACATATTTTAAATCATACTTAAGAAACAAACTAGTTTCCCAGTACTCCAGCAGCTTTAATTATTAATGTTCCAGTACTTAAACCGATACTGTAAAATCTACCCAGACACTGGAAAATGAGCATACTTCATACATTCAAGGTAACAGACTCACGATGGAAAAAATCTAGCTGGGCAACCAGCAGCATTTGTCTTTGTCACAGTATTTCCAGCAGCACTGCATTTTCCTGAATGATGCAGAAACTCCTGCCCCAGTTCCAGCACCCACTTTTTCATCCCATCCCTTGACACGGACCAATCCTCATTTCTTCTCTCAGCTGAATCACTCGGAAGGCACACGTTCAAGGGACAGGAAAATGTCACCAGCTGCTGCCTGCTCTCAAGCCAGGACAACATTGCCATCCCACGGCCCAGCACCGCAGTGCAGCTCCCACATTTGGTCGCTGCTGCCCTTGCAGCACCACAGTTCATTACGTAGCACACAGCAAGAATCTCGGTTTGTAAACCGTGGTAGAGACAGAAGAAGGAAAGAAAGTATTCATTTATCACTGCAGATTTTGCTCTGTGCTGAAAATGCCTCATAGCAGGCATGCGTTTCAAAACTAAAGCCATCAGAAGTCAGATGAATCAGAGCAGAGCCTGCATATCCGCCAGCCCATCACGACAGAAATCTGCAACAAAACACGTGTTTGCACGTGGGGTCAGCCCCAAAACCGAGCTGAGGAGACCTATTCCATTGCAGTCGTTGATTGCTTTATAAAAACTCATGGAAGTTTTGGAAGATGCTGGCTCTGGAGCTGGCAATACAGGCAGGCCGTGTGCCAGCACTGGAACAGCTGGGCTGGAAGCTCACACTTCAGCTACACAGCAGTGCAGCAGGGCCAGGACGCCGCCCAGCCAGCAGCCGTGTGCTCTGCCTTTGTGGTTGCAGAGCTGTTCCAAAAGCTAAGCTTCCACTCCAAAAAGGGGAAAAAAATAATAAACCCACATTTTCAGCTTACTCAAGTTTAGATTGATTTCTTCTACAGTTGGGAATTGTACTGTTTTAGGGTTCAGTGATAGTGTGGACAGAAGCACGCTGTGCCCCACTCTTGGCTAACGGCGTGGCTTTGCAGCCTGGACAACATCAAAGATCCTTCACAGGGTGGATCTGATGCAGAGATATGAGCAGCTGACAGCCAGTCCTGAATAAAATGCCACTGCCAGGGATGGGAACGGCCTCACTGAGTGCAGAAGGCACGAATTAAAGTGTTAGCATGGTTCAAAGACAAACCAACCCAATCCAAGCACGTGAATTAGAACCAGCACAGTCCAAGGCTCAGGGCACAGAGCAGCAGCAGAACAGCCTGGTCCCATGAGATACAGAGCTTAGGGTCCAAATAGTACAAAATAGTACACATCTTTACACATCAGTGAAATATTTGTTAGCACTCATTGCAGCCCATCTGCATCCAGCCTCTGCTGGAACTGCACTTCTCCACAGAAAGGAGTAAAGCGATCATTTCCACTCCCATGATGTCTGGTAACACGGCGGGATGCCTGGCAGCAGCTCTGCTCACAGATCTGCTGTTTGCCCTCACCTCAAGTCCACCTTCTGCTGTTCACTACCAAAAACATCTCCTGTCAGAAACGCCTTTTGTTGCTGCCAACAATTAAGTATGCAATGCAATACAAGCTCCTTCCAGCTTTTCCTCAGGTCATAACATTTTTGAAAGGCCTCAGTAAATCCAAACAAATTTTAAGTGATTTGTTTTTTGTTCAATTCCAGGACTCGGAATTGTTGGTGAATATTTAACAGAACTATGCACAGATTAGACCTCACCTGCAACTTTAAGTTTCTCCAGCATATAACGCATCTGAAAGGCCATGCAAGTCAGCCTATCTGTATTTCTCAAGCAACCACCGTTTTCAGGATGTTTTTGTCCCACCAAAGTTAGCTGCTTGTCTTAGAGCACTTCCATGCTCAAGACAGGTTACTGTTCAGCTGTTAAGTACCACGATAAGCAGCATTTTAACTCCACTGTATCAGCTCTAAGCTTGTTGTCTAGTTTCTTCCAGTTGAAGATGCTTCCAGAACATCAGCATCAGTAGATTAAGAGGCTTCTTGCAAAACTGCTATTGAAAAAAAAAAAAAGAATTCTCCTGAAGGCTTTTTAATATATCTTTCATAATGGCAAGTTCTTGGGAGTTCATAGCAAAGCAGGAAAACAGATTTACGAGTGAGTTCACTATCATAGAATGTTTTCTGCATGCTTCACTCAACAGCTACAAGGCAACAAGCAACCAGACTTGTTTGTGGTCAAGGCAGAGCTGCTATTTGAAGTCAGAGAAAAAAACCCTTCTGCCTGTTTCCATAATTCATGAGGCAGAGGTTTTACAAACTGAGGTTCTTCCTCCCACTCTGTTCAGTAGCTTTGAAGCATCTGATGATGAAAAATGCAAGGACTTGCAAGTTGAGGGAGGGGGAAGGAAGAGAGAAAAATGAAGTTTCAAGAAATATGTAAGTCACTGTGCTCTCTGGATATGACTCCATATCTTAGAGTTGGACAGAAACCCATAACCCCAGTCCTGGCCAGAAGCAAGACCCGAGACAGTGAAAGATCAGCATGTGCTCAGCTCAGACCTGCTTATTTATTCCTTTAGATGTTTTTACTGAACTAAATCAACCCATCTTCACCATTTTATCAACACAAAGAATTCTACCTCTCTAAGACAGCAATCTGCCCTAAATGTTTTTCTGAAGACAGCTCCAAGACTGTTATTTGTTTCCCCAAACTCAAGGGGAAGAGTTTGCCATAGGCACAAGTAAGACAACCCAGTTGTTTTTACTGATGAAGATCTTGAAAAATCTTTCCCTGCCTCTGTTTTCTGTTTGTTTTAATGTAGATGAAAACCTGAAGTTCTCACACTGCACTCTGTTACAGTAAGGAAAATTCAAGCATCAAAACATACAGAAGGAAAGTAAGAAAAAACTCACGCAGCTCTGTCTCAAGATAGAACACCTCAAGGATTTCCATTTCACTTCATCTTCTCTGTGCGTTACAGCACCCACCCGTAGGTCTGGAGTAAAAGGTTCTTCCTTCTTCCATTTTGTTAGCTGGCAACTTTAAAACTTCACAGCAATACGCTGCTGTTATTTACAGCCAACAGAAAACCACGGATCACTAAGGAAACTGTACCTACACGCAGTGTATTCAAAGCTAGCCATCATACACTGACAAGACCTTGCAAGCATAAGCATTTAGAAGCAAGTTCTCAAGCAGCCCTAGACTATATAACAAGGCACTGATACAAACATAATGCCTACCTACAAACCCAGCAGTGAGGCATACACAGATGGGAGCTATTTCACTCTTCACCAAGGACAGCCTGGATTTTAGTCATCTTTTGCATTTGTGCCAGAAAGAGTAACAAGGAGACTGGGGGGGAGAAAAGCATTCTTACGATGATCGATTGCAACTTTATTCTCTGTCCGTGTTGCTGGGTATGTCAGAAGGATGAAGACCCCATGTGCTTCTGTTATTGGTCCCGTACAGTCTCTCATGCTACACGTTTGGTGGTCACAGGCTCTTTTCAGGGGGAAAAAGAACAACAGCTGATTGTGCTAGACAAGCTGAGAGCAAGGTAAGAACACACATCAGAATCCAGCAGGGCCATTCAGGACAGCCATGCAGCCAGGCCATCGATTCACATTGTGAGACACCTTCAGAACAGAAAACAGAGCAGCAGCTCTTTGCATTGCCGAGGTGAAACCCTGACACCACATGGCCAGTGCTGAGAGCAGTCCTGCTGCCAGGAAAACAGGCACCACACAGGGCTCAGGGCAGGTCGGGCTGCTCTTTCCCCTTTGAAAGTGCTGACCATGTCCAAGTTGACCATGCTTGTGAATACTCTCCTCCTCAAACTGTGTTTGTTAGCAGCAATTCAGAAAGAAATTTGGCTCTGCTAAGAGCAAAAGTCTTTGTTGTCTATTTTCTTCATTCAAATTCAGCTAGGATGAAGTGCCTAACAGCTACTAACCCAGCCTACCCGTGTCACAATCACTGCAGGTGGGGAAGGCAATGGGGAGTTGCACTTCCTAAGCTCGAGGAAGTTTGATTTGGTCTTAACTGAAGGTGATTCTTCTAGAAAGCACAATTTTGAACACAGAACACCTGAGGAAAACAAAACGGTTAAAAAACAAATGAATCACTTAAAGACAAGCCAACAAAACAGCCATTGTTTGTGGAGACAACCAACTGAAAACGATTTCATTTGATCTCACATGTTTTGCTTCACACATATACAAAACACTTCAGCATTCCACTTCCTCCACATTCATTGCACAGGAACATATGCCTTCCATATAAAAAGATGCTGTAGAAAACCACAAGATTGTAAATACTAGATTCATGATTTGTTTGCAATTATATTTAATATTAACTGTATCGTTTTTACAAAGCAGTGGAAAATTAAAAGAATAGCAAGAAACCCTCATCTGCTGCCTAGCATCAGTAATCCTCAGTGGTTTGTTCACCATTTATAAGGAAAACATCATACAAAGCTGCTTGTCACAGAGACTCTTCCACAATAAGGAGCTTCTGGTGCAAACCCAACGCATCTGTCAGTTCATCCAGCTTTCCTCAAAGGCCCTCCTTCTAAAATTGAACCTGTCTGCCAATGATAATATTCTTCCCACCCATGTATCTTCCAGCCAAACACAGTAAATCCCATTGCATGCATGTAAGGTTGGTGAAGCCCTCGTTGTTAAGCAGGTAAACTGAGGTCTAGACATTGATTTGTTTGAGGCCAGACTTCTGGATGGTCAGCCATGGAACCCAGCTCTCACAACCACAAATGATCGTCCTGGCTGGAGGCTACTTCCTCACTAAAGAGAAAACAAAGTGACTAATTACACTGACATTATTTCTTCCTTCACCCTCTCTTAGAGGATCAGGTATTTTTCTCGTGTAGCTGCTGTTAATATTCAGAAATGGTGTGAATCTGTGTTAACACCTGTGCTCAAACAAATCCCAAAGGAGTCAGTGTGACAGCAAACTGTAGGCAGCAGACAGTGGGCAAGCTGAAGGGACCCCAGGCAGGTTAGCCTCATCCACCTGCAGAGGGGCCCCTACGGCCTGGTCTCCAGGAACAAGTTCCACCTCCTTCTCCAGACAGGGGGTTATAGCCTGGAAGGACAGATGAGAAATCCACAGTCACAGCCAACAGGAATTTGCCAACACACGTGGAACGCCACAATTAAATTTCACAATGATTTGCACCTTATTGCACAGGGAGCAACTCAAGGAAAAAACGAGGAAAAGGAAAGCAGAGAAATTATCCAGACTTGAGAAGGTTCATTCTATAGTGCTGATGGTAAAAGCCATTGCAAAATGTTTGTGTTCTAGTTGGACCACGGGGATTAAATTAAATTGAAATTAATTGCCACTTAATTCCTCTAAGTCTGCATTAAAGCCTTAATGGTGCTCTGCAGTTGCAGCAGAACAGTAAGGGTTTATCTGTCCTCCAAGAGCCTGAATAGCTAAGGACATCAAATAATCATAGGATGGCCTGGGTTGCAAAGGAGCACAGTGCTCATCCAGTTCCAATCCCCTGCTGTGTGCAGGTCACCAAAGCAGCCCAGGCTGCCCAGAGCCACATCCAGCCTGGCCTTGAATGCCTGCAGGGATGGGGCATCCACAGCCTCCTTGGGCAACCTGTTCCAACTCTGTCATCATCTTCAAATCATCTTTTATTCCTGTCCTGCATGGAACATTCTAAAGGTCAAAAAACTGTAAGACGTGTCTTTAAATGAATTAGAAAAGGCAAATGTGTGCAGTGAGGCAAACAGCCACTTCAGCTGAACCTCCTACTGCCACAGCTGCAGGCAACTTCACGTTATGAGAAAATACTTGGAAAGATTCAACGTGGCAAATACCTTCACTCAGTACAAGGTAAAGGAAAGTGGGAAGCCTGCTCCTAGCCTTGCTAACGAGCAGGTTTCAAAGCAACCTGTCTTTCTGAAACTTCAAGGGTCTTTGAAGCTCATTTTTCTCATATTAGCAAAGTTCTGCTTTCTAGCTCAATTCAGCAGCTGAACAGTACAGATGGTTCTTTTGCTTCATCCGTAGCTAACTCACGAGGAGATCAGAGACCTCTAATTCTATAATCTGTTAGTTGAGCCAAGATTCTATGATTCTATGATTCTGTTCAGCTGAAACTAGGACAGGCAGCATCTGGAAGGATGCCTCAGCCCAGCTGCCCCAGTCATGTTTCCCAGCACATGAAGGAAACGTGCTAAGAGAAAGCATGCAATTCTCATCCCTGTAGTGGTCAACGTTCTGTGCAGGAGCTACAAAAGATACTGGGCAGCAGCAGACACTCGACTGCATATAAAGGATGAATCAATCCATCAGACAGTTCCTTCAAACGTTGCCAGTAGCTGTTGGTATGGATGCTCAAAGCAGAACTCAGCACTGAACTGCTACTGACATGCAATACTCTTTAATCAAGAATCATAGGGTTCAATACATTCAATCATGTAATTTACTCACTCCTGCACCCTAAGTGCATTTCCCTTTTAGCTTGTTGTGATTGAGGTTTATCTGTATAATCCAATCCACTGTGGAAAAATCATTATTAAATTATGATAAATTAACAATTGCAAGTATAGCAAAAGTTGTTAGGCCAAGAGGAGAGAAAGGACAACAGCTGCACAGCTGATTCACAGCAGTGATCCTTATGTGGAGGATTTAAGGCTACAGACAACAAGTAATTAATCCATCAAGACAAATTTCAGTGGTTGACATTAAGTGTGGTGGTAAGACAGTAATGGTGGTTGGCAGCCATTCTAGGGGTCAGCAGGATTTGCTGGATTTGCAGTCGTTACCTCAACACTGATAAACAAGGCCACATTCTTCTTAGGGAAAGGTTTCAGTGGACAGAATCTACATAACACAAAGTAAGATTTTCTTCTTACACTTCATTATTATTGCAGGTGACTAAAGGACAGACCAAATGGAATTAGATGGCTTTCAAACAGTGAAGGAGGAGTCCCAGAAGTATTGCAAGAGCCTGTAGTTTTCGTCACAACAATCTCAGTGAGTTATGGCCAAAATGCTGTCTCTCCCTGGGGAAAAGCACGAGGGAGCTTCCTGCTGCTCTGCCCAAAATTCAAACAGACTACAGTGGGTAGAGCTAAAGAACTCACTCGTAAGGCACATTTTGTTTCCCCTTTGAATAAGAGAAAAATGATGGGTAATTATGTAACGGCTTTGTACACAGCAACACGAGCTGTGCCTCGAGACAGAACACCTCAAGGGTTTCATACTCACCACCTCCTCGCAAGGGCTTCTTGTTTGGTTTAGATTTCGGGACTGCTGATGAGGCGGAGGCACCAGATTCTGCTTCTTGCTGTTCACCAAAGCAAACATTGCTCAGAACTCAGTCAGTGTGAACTTCAGCTGATCTAATTACATGCACGTAACCTGATTAACAACACAGCTGTTACCTGACTCAGTTTCAGGTTTCCTTTATAACTTTTTCCTTCTTGCATACTTTCCCACATTTCTATCTTCTGCCTTCGCTTCTGTTCTTCAAGCTAAGAAACAAAATGAGGACACATCAGACTAAGATTTTAGCATCAATTGCCATTGCTACAGGAACAGCTACAGCAGGGTACACGAAAGCCACTGGATCCATCTTTACCTGATGCAGTACCTCAGCTTACAGAAGCATTGACTTTTTAAATGCTCAAGCTTTCCCAAGGTCAGAACAGCAACCCCTCTTTCCCAGCACATACAGATTTGGACTGCAGCTTATTCTGACACCTTGATGCTTGAAAGTACAATAAAACTGAGTGGCCAGCTTAAACCATTAGTCTATGAAAGGACGAAGCATTGCATCTGATGGTCACTGGATGCACAGTGAAGGGTTCTACAAAGCAAAAGGTGCTTTTCAAATTAGCAAGATAACCAGCTATGCTTCTGGAAGTGTCAGTTATAAGCTGATATCTGGATGTAGCTGATTTCAGAAGCAAAGATGAAAGAACCAGGATTAATGAGCAATATTAGTGTTTTGCTGATCACATCCACTCTTCTACATTGATTTACAACTCCAAGATGGCAAGGCCCAAAGTGTTGCAGCCAAATACATTCTTGCAGAGAAGCATTAATCACGTCAAGAATGAGCAAAACACTAACCATATCAATCACTCTAATTAACTAAGAGCAGGAGGACCTCAGGCCAACACATCATACAAGTACACTGAATGGCCATCATGATACCTAATGCCTGTTATCACAAAGTGCATCAACCATATGAAAAGCAGATTGGATGAAGGAGGGAGAAGAATCCCACCTCCCCCATCCCAGCAGAGGGATCCAATTCTTCTGCTATCTAGCATGGTATGCAGCTTTCTACAGCAGCAGCAAAGCACCTGATGACAAGTTAGGGAGTTAAAGAAAGAACAGCTCTCCAGTTACCTGTCTTTGTTTTTCTTTGTATCTTTCTGCTTGTGCATTCAGCTCCTCTTGCATCCTCAGACGAGATGCCAGCAAAGCTTCTTGTCTCCTTACCACCATGTCAGGCTCTAGGGAATAGTCAGAGAGTTTGCAACGCAGTTTAAAATGGACTCTAAACGGTATCCTGAAAGAACCACAATAAGGAAAGGCACACATCTCTCACTGCAGCAGCTCCACAGAAAATCACAGCTCAAGTTCAGTTTGCAGCTGATACAGTAACTCATATGCTGATTTAAATTTTATATTTGAATATTTTTAGAGCAATTGCTTTAACGAGCTTTTAACGAACATGGACACCGATGGAACAAACCCATACAAAATTAACATCCCAGCATCTAGGATATTTGCTTCTATTTCTGAAGCATTTGCTCAATACAACTTCAGAAATATCATCCATGCTTCACAGGAATCCCATTTTTATCCACAGAACTTGTTTGATGCAGAAGCAGAAGGCAATCAGCCCACATCCACTCCTCCTCCTTGGAATTGCTGCTGCTGCTTGGGTTACAGCAGCAAAGCAGAGGCAGATTTAACATGCTCTATCAGCAGGGAAATTACTCACAAATGTCAAACATATCTCAACAGAAAACTGGCAGCCTTGGGAAACCTACATTAAGAAACTGCCTCCCTTCACCATCAGCCTTTAGAAGATTGGCTTTCTCACCCACAGGGTGGTGAGGCACTGAACAGGTTGCCCAGGGAGGCTGTGGATGCCCCATCCCTGCAGGCATTCAAGGCCAGGCTGGATGTGGCTCTGGGCAGCCTGGGCTGCTGTTGGTGACCTGCACATAGCAGGGGGTTGGAGGTGGATGATCATTGTGGTCCTTTGCAACCCAGGCTGTTCTGTGATTCTATAAAGTTAAAAGAAAAATGCTACCCAAACCAAGGGTAAATATCACCTTTTTCTTTTTTTCCCAGTTACTGAAGTATCTCCAACATTTGTTTGACTCCTTAAGTGTTTGCTACCACCCAACAAATGTGAAAAAGAAATTTAAGTGGTTTCAGGAATTTTGTTTTATAGGCAGATCTGGCAATTGAACCAAGATTCAATTATGACGCAAAAGACCATCAGCAGAATAAAGGCATGTAAATAACATTTTCTGAGGCCAGCGTGCCTGAGGGATTAATGCCAATCACTCATTCTTTCAGCAGATCCATAAGGAAAGACCATGATTTACAGCAACAAGTCTTCAAGAGAGGCAAGACCATAACCCTGTGAGATTTTCAACCTCTGCCACACTTAAAGGGCAACACATGCCAGAGGCAGATACACCCCAAAGGTACACAATCCTAATGGAGTAGGAATTGTGAAGGAATAATTCATAGAGACAATGAATATTAACCAAAAGTTTGGCTTTTTTCAAGCCTTTAGCTATTGCTTTTCTTTGAGAATTCTCTTTTTATACTTGACTGCAGCTCCTTTAAAGCATGTGGCTTTCTAAAATCCTGCACTGTCACAGCAGTTACTCCCTTGCACTGCCCTGCTCCTTTTCTCCCAATCTCTTTACTTCGTGCCCCAATCCCATCACATTACAGACTTTTAGAGGCATTTCTCTTGGTTTAACATTTCCTTATTGTTGCTATTCAAAAAGATCTGTACAGTTTTGCAGACCTTACAATCATAGGCTCATTAAGGTTGGGAAAGACCCCTGAGTTCACCAAGCCCAAGAACTCCCCAAACCCATCCCACTGCGCCCACTGACCCAGCCCCACATCTCCACAGCTCCTGAACATCTCTGCACAGTGACTTCACCACCTCCCTGGGCAGCCCATGCCAACGCACCACTGCTCTTTTTTTTTCCTGACATCCAACCTTCAGTGCAACCTAAGGCCTTCACTTCCCATCCCATTGCTGTTACCTGGGAGCAGAAGCTGAACCCCCCCCCACCCCCCCAACACCACACCCTCCTCTCAGGGATCAGCAGAAAGCAATAAGGATTCCTGAGCCTCCTTTACTCCAGGCAGCCCAGTTCCCTGAGCTGCTCTCCACAAGACTGCGCTCCTTCACAGCTTCGTTGCCTTTCTGTGGACACAGCCCAGCGTTAAGATCCCCCTCTGCAGAATACCTTCTCGCTGCCATGAAGCAGCATTCTGCACGCGTGGAACCGAACAGCTGTCAGACAGCTGAGCAGCCCCCCGCAGGCACCCGGAAGCCGACAGCCAGGATGAGCACACAGCCCTCAGCGCCGTACAAACCTATGTCTGCTCCAGCTGCTCCTCGCTGGCTGCTGGGCCTCATCCCCCACCGCGAGGAAATCTTCTGCACGATGAGATAGATGGCGACGCAGGCCAGCAGGACGTACCAGCCATAGCTCGACAGCAGGGCGCCCACTGGGAGGGGAACGAAGCGTCGCTCGCGGCCCCTCAGCACGGACCACCGCCGCCCGAGGCAGGCCGGACAACGCGGCGCCAACCGCGGCTCCTCACACCGCCGCCCCCGAGGCCCAGCTCCCCCCGCCTCACGCCCGGCTCTCCTCACCCGCTCCCCTCACCCCACCGCTCCCCGTCTCCACCCCGGCCCCACCCGTGTGCTGCAGCAGCTCGAGCCCTTCCCGTTCCACAGCCGGTTTCCCCGGGCCCGGCCCGGCTCCGCCGCGGTCCCCGAGCTCCATGGCCCCGCTGCCGCCTCACGTCCGGGAGCCGCCCCTCCGCCAATCACCGCCCTCCTCGTCCTCTGCCGCCTCGCGGACAGAGAGCCAATCGGCAAACGATAGAGATGACATCACAGCCGCATAGACCAATAAGAAGAAGGGAAAGGCGAAGGACCAATCGCGGAGCTAGCCTCTCCCCCCGGATGCAGGAAGTAGGCGGGGCACAGGCAGAGCGGGCACGGCGCTTTATTGAGCGCGGCGCGGCACAACGCCACGTGGGCAGCTCGGCGTCGCGGGAGCTACGAGCCGGTGGGGACGGGATCTTCCTCCATCTCCTCCTCGGCGTCCTCGGCCGAGCCTGTAAGAGAGCGGAACGCAGCGCGATGAGCGCACGCTGTGAGTCTGGTGCTGCAGACCGTGAACGCTCTGCCGGCCGGGCAGCTCGCGCGCTGAGTGCACGGACCGAGGGAGGTGGTCCTGTGCCATCCCAGCCAGCAAATCACAGCCATCTCACATCTGTGAGGTTTTTCAACGCCCTCCCGGCGTAACCTCCTTGCTGAGATCACACGAAGGAATCGAAAGAGGGGGGTTCTGTTTAGGAAAGAAAAGCAGCACTGTCACCTGGTTTTCGTTCTCTGCCGGGGATCTGGCCGGCCTGCAGCAAGCCTTTCAGCCTCTCCACTTCAGCCAATGTTGAGGCATTTGCTATGGCAGTCTGAAAAACAGACAGAGGAGCACAGTGAATCTTCACGTGCAGCACACCAGCCCACAGAGAATAAACACAGCAAGTTGGTTTTGTTTTGCAGGTAAGTTAAGCCAAGCACAGTCTTGTTCCCCCCAGTTACACAAGCTGAGCTGTCCTGGGCAAGCTCTAGGCTCAAAACGAAGTTTTAGTTAAGTTTTCCATATGACACGGTAGAAGCTACAGAAAAAGCACCTAGAACAAACAGAGCCTTCCGTTCTACTCATCTGAACAGTCAGCCGTTGCCAGGAAGAAGAAAACATTTCTTCAGTTGGGATTCCCAATTGTTTTCCTCTGCTTTTGTCTGAGTGCTGTTGAGCACACTCACCTTAATTGCCTCAACATCACCCGGCGAGGGCCCGGCTTTCTTTTTGTCTGTTGGCAGACCAGCGCCTGGATTGAAGCTTCAGAGGAAAAAGCAAAGAGGTGCCATTACTCCCTGGGAGGAGTGCGTGCTTCTCTTACTTCCAAACCAGGTTTGGAAGCATTTCATTCAATCAAGTGTAGTATCTTATCTTTGTTAACAAACTGATACAGTGATGAATTGCCTCCTTCAGAAACACCAACCACTTGTCCTCGCTGTCCCATCCCCCCTCCCATCTTTTCATCTGCTCATAACAAGAGGCAGACTGTCACTTTATAAGCAAGCAGCTGACAAAAGCCGTTGGATTTGGATGTTGTTGAACACACGGGAGGTCTGTTACCATTACAGAAAGCAGAGTGGATAAAGACAGAGTAAATGAAGTTGGATTTCCTCTTCTGACATGTCTAATGGGATATTGTGACAGCCCATACATAACCTATGTTAGGAGAACAAATCTGTCTCTGAAAATGGAAGTCACAGAGCACACAGCTGGAAAGAACTTCCCGAAACAGTGACCCAGTTCAGAGAGCTGCAGCCTCTCCCGCAGCTGCATATGGACATTTGGTGTGTTTATTGGGTATTTAGTTCAATGATTTACTTGCTGTGATGCTATCACAGACCTCAATCATTTCCACTCACAAACCATTGTGAGAGCCCATCTGTCAACAGTTTTGAATGTTCACAGTCACTGGCAAACCAGATTTTTCAGTTCCCAATCAAAACTGAGCAAACAACAGCCACCTCTCTGCAGTAAAGTAACAAAGAGCAAAAAACCAACAAGTTTCCTGCATACTGATATACAGCAACCCACCCTGACCAAACAGATTTCTGAGATGTGTTCACCACCATCCAAAAACTAGGGATGTCTCAGGGCAGTCGTAATGCTGCACACAAAGTGGTGTTTCTGAAGGAGAATGCCAGTGGAAGTGTTTGTTTTATCTTACGTTTTGGATCTCCTGGCAATATCCTTTGCAAGCTGTGCACCCCGTTTGCCCTTGAACATTTTCTCTGCCTCCTGTCGCTCCTACAGCGATACCACACACACAAAGTTAATTTGAGAACGTAGCATTGTGCAAAGCTGCTGTCTTTGCAAAGAAAGATGCTCTGGCTCATCTTCAGTGAACAACAGCACGAGGAGAGCAGGCATAAAAACAAGCACCAACACACTGCCACACTGCACTCGAGGTGCATCGCGTCAGTGCTCCTGCAACAACAACCCCACACTTCTACAGGGAAAGCAGAGGGCTCTGCTGTCATCTCTCATTCCTTTCTCTAGGTTTGTCTTACCACCACTTTTAGCAGCCAGAAAAGTCAGACTAAACAAACAACAGCAGCAAAACATATTAAAACTAATGAAGCAGACTGTATCCTTAACAGTGTGAAACCATCAAAGAGAAGCATGGCTTTCAGAGCCTCGCAGGACACAGAGTTTCACTACAGTTTACAACTGGGGCAAAAAGCTCCTTGTTTTCACTACAGTCCCAAGAGTTAACAGGAGAAAAGGTCTCCATCTGGTGTTCAATCAGAAGGTGACAGACTTACTTTGAGTTTCACTTTCTGAAAATCCAGCACTCTGACTTGGGGAACTTTGTAGATAACATATAATCTGTAATGCTTCTTATTTGTTACTGGATTCCTTAAAATGCTACAAGGCAAATAAAGGTCATAAACAGTTACTTAGTTTGAAATATATTACAATAAATTACAAACAGTGGCTTTTCTTTTCAGGATGACATACCTCAGGTAAGTCAACGATTTAATACTTGACAGTGGATCCAGTTCACCCTACGTAACAGGAAGAACAGAGTAAGAATCTCAAATCCATTTCACAGCCATCAAATACTTCAGAACGAAGCTCCTGAACTCCTGGCTGTGAAAGAGGAACTAAAATCCCCCGCTCCTTTCAAGCTCACTTGTTTGGAAATGGCAGCATTTGCACCATTGTGGCAAATGACTGCAGTGAGTCAACAGTGTTCCATTCAATGGCACTGTATGCAATTCAAAACTGAAAAGGTTTGGTTTCACTATGGAAAACACACATCCCAGAAAAAGGAAGAAAACCAAGACAGTAACAAAACAAGTTTCAGTCCGAACACATAACTAAGAATTGTAAGCTTCAAGCAGACCTGCTGGCTATTAAATCTGCATAAATGGATTCAAATCTGTCTAATTTCTACACATAAGACAGCAACAAAACCAATAAAGTTGCACTAAGGCACCTTGCTTCATATTCATTACTTCAAAGGAAGAACATGAGAAATTGTGCTCTTAGGTTTTCTACTTTTGAGTAAGAGACAAAAAAAGTTCAAAGTGAATTTTCATATCTTAAAAAAAAAACAACAACAAAACCAGGGGCTGTTTATTCAGTCCAAAATTAGACCTAAAATATTTCATTTCAAGGTATTGAGGTCACTTCCCTGAGTGCTCCTTAGTGGACTCTCGTTTGCATTTTGGAGACCAAGCAGAATTACTACAGTTAGTTTAGCAGGAAGCCCACCAAGACTTTGACTGCTGCTCCACTGCATGCTGCAAATGATGTTCGTTAGGATACATGAACCACCACGACTACCAAATTCACATCATTCTGAAGAAAAAACTAATCAGAAAGGTGACAAAAACGCACAGTTTAGAGCTGTTAAGATGTTTTCTGCATCAATAACTTACCAGTTCAGATATGTTGTTGTTGGTAAGAATGAGCTCTGTGAGACTGGGCAGAGCTTGTTCAAGTCCTTCCCCAATCCGACTACAGAAGAACAAAAAAGAACAGAGATTTCACCTTTGGCTGGAAATTAACAATGATGAACGTATACACAGAAATACAAAAATCACAGAATCATTAAGGGTGGGAAGACCTCTGAGATCATTCATATTAGGTTAGATGTTAGGAGGAAGTTTTTCACCCAGAGGGTGGTGAGGCACTGAACAGGTTGCCCAAGGAGGTTGTGGATTCTCCATCCCTGGAGGCATTCAAGGCCAGGCTGGATGTGGCTCTGGGCAGCCTGGTCTGGTGGCTGGCGACCCTTTATGTAGCAGGGGGTTGGAACTACATGATCATTGTGGTCCTTTGCAACCCAGGTCATTCTATGATTCTATGACATGATTCATTCAGCCCACCCCCACCATTCCCACTAAACCACATCCCTCTGTGCCACATCTCCATGGCTCTGGAAAACCTCCAGGGTCAGTGACTCCAGCACCTCCCTGGGCAGCTGTGCCAATACAGAGCTCCTCACTTAAACACAACCAAGTATGGCACCAGCAGAAGTTTGGGTTAGCATAGCTTTCTAACAGAGCTAGCATAAAACACTAGCAGCCACTGTAAGGGCATGAGGTGCAGCAGAGCAGCCCAGTTCATTCAGTTGCAGGTATCCTTGTCTGTGTGTCTCTGAATGTGAGTCGACAGTGTGCTCAGGTGGCCAAGAGGGCCAGTGCCACCCTGGCCTGCATCAGAAATAGTGTGGGCAGCAGGAGCAGGGAGGTGATCATCCCCCTGTACTCAGCACTGGTGAGGCCGCACCTCGAGGACTGCACTCAGTTTTGGGCCCCTTACTACAAAAAAGACATTGAGGCCCTGAAACGTGTCCAGAGACAGGCAACAAAACTGGTGAGGGGTCTGGAGCACAGATCTTACGAGGAGCTGCTGAGGGAGCTGGGATTGTTCAGTGTGGAGAAGAGGAGGCTCAGGGGAGACCTCACTGCACTCTACAACTTCCTGAAAGGAGGCTGTGGTGAGGAGGGGTTTGGCCTCTTCTCCCAGGCAACAAACAGGACCTGAGGAAATGGCCGCAAGTTGAACCGGAGGAGGTTTGGGTTGGACATAAGGAAGAACTTTTTCTCTCAGAGTGGTCAGGCACTGCAATGGCTGCCCAGGAAGGTGGTGGAGCCGTCGTCCCTGGCAGTGTTCAAGAGGCATCTGGATGAGGAGCTGCGAGGTCCGGCTTAGTGCCTGTGGTAGCAGTGGTAGTGGGA